CTGGGTTGCATCAAAAAGGGCATCACCAGCAGAGATAAAGAAGTCATTATCCCTCTCTACTTGGCGCTTGTCAGGCCACACCTGGAATACTGTGTACAGTTCTGGTCCCCGTTATACAAAAAAGATGTGGACAGGCTGGAGGGGGTCCAGAGAAGGGCCACCAAGATGATCAAGGGTCTGGGAAGCCTGCCGTATGAGGACAGGCTGAGAGAGCTGGGTTTGTTCAGCCCTGAGAAAAGGAGGCTTAGAGGTAATCTCATCACCTTGTACCAGTACTTAAAGGGGAGCTACAAAGAAGATGGAAACTCCCTTTTTACAAGGAGTCACTTGGTGAGGACAAGGGGTAATGGGTACAAGTTACTCCCAGGGAGATTCCGATTGGACACGAGAGGTAAATTTTTCACAATGAGAACAGTCAATCATTGGAATAATCTCCCCAGGGAAGTGGTTGACTCTGCTACGCTGAACACGTTTAAGACTCAGCTGGACATGGTGCTGAGCCACCTCGTCTAGATTGTGCTAGAAAGGTTGGACCAGATGATCCTCAAGGTCCCTTCCAACCTGGTATTCTACGATTCTATGATTCTAATTTAAGGAAAATGCAAATGAAAGCCAGTTGGAAAAATAATGTGGATTTACTTTTGGTTTCTGTTAAATAGGTGACAGACTTTTCATAAGGCAAGAAGGGTCAAAAGGAGAGAGAAACTGAGTTTAATGACTTACATTTGATCCATAGGTCACACTGGTGAATGCTTGCCTTAAACTATCCACTTGCTGAAGTTGAATGAATTAGCATCCATCATATAGTTAGGAGATTTGTTGTCCCCACATGCTTGGCAGGCAGTGGGGATATTCATATATTTAGAGACTGAGAGGGTAAAAAGAAAGCTGGATTCTAATTTTATTGAAAACGGTCAGAGCTTTACTTGAACAGACATCAATATTTGGCTGCAGTCAAGTAAAGCATGATTATAGCCATTAAAATATGAAAGCACTCTCATAAAATCCCTCCATAGGAGCACGAGCCAAAGCCTGCTGGAGTGGAAAGCATCTCTGACGTTAATGGGCTTTGGATGACGTTCTAGAGACAGCAAAACAACTGAATTTCAGATTCAGTGATACAAACCTGACAACAGTCAACTACCCAAATACATCTCAGAACCGCTTCATTTACTCAAAGGCTTGTACAAGAGATTAAACAGTTAATACAATTAAAAGCAAAAAACCACAGATGGCCTGTCCTGCAGCCCTTATCTACATGAATAACCTTAATTGATTGAAGTCAGACTATTCATCCAACTAAGAACTGCAGGATCAGGATCAAAGTATGCAAATCCCCCCTCATTACACTGTTGAACATCACCATAGCAAATTGAATATGGGTAGCATATTACCTCATCGCAGGCATGCTTATGGAATGGCGAATAGAGTAACTGTGGGATGAAAGCAAAAGATAAGGAAAAAAAAAAAGCTGTAAAATCCAGTTTGCAACATGATTGTAACATATAATTTTTATGTTTTTAAATTAACTTTAAAAAAAAAAAAAAAACATATATACATATCTTTAAGAGTGCTGGTACTCTCCTTCTCCTGATGGCAACAGCTTGTCAAACTCACCTGTGAATTCCAGCTCACTTTCAGCACTGAAGATCTTACCATTATATTCTCATATCAACTGATCAGCAATTTAATAGGGCTCAGAAGAATGATGCAAAACAGTCCCTGACAATATCCATTTAAATGAGGCAGACCCCTGCTATCTACAGAGACGTGCAACATGAGACACAGGAAGAGAGCTACCTCCGTGTTCTGCAGCGACAGGCGATAAGCTCTGTGCTGGGCGAGTACCATACACCTCAGGTCTGTGAACATAAGCAGAGCTGGTTCAAGGCAGGAGGTAAGCAGGCAATCACCTGCCTTTGTTGTACAACGTACACAGGCCAAACAGCCAGCGCTGGCCTCCAATTTGTATAGGCTCCTGCACAACAGGCTACCTAAACAACATGTTTCTTCAACCAGAGAGGCAGCTCTCTCAGCTGCAGCAGTTGCTGTCCCCATCTCTCTGGGACGTTTCACCTCCTCCTTCACACCTGAACTACCAAGGATAGAAAGCTGTTTTCCCACAGCTCTCATCCAGCTTTCCTTGCCGCACTTCCCTCCGCAGACTTCCCAGCAGCAAGAATACCAGAAGGCTGGCAAGCGGAGGATGGAGCCTCTGCATGACTCAAAGATCCCCAAATCCTCTTGCACGCCTTCAACCCTGCCGATGGCCACTCACCCCAACCACTTTGACTTACATTAGCCACATTCTTCCACCTAAGCCACCAAAGCCAACTCTGCGATCATGCCATCACCTGTTCCCTACTGCTGGGAAGCATCGAGCCTGTTCTGAATATGAGTATTTGAAATGTAAGAACTGCCCATAAGTACATTTAGATCTGAACACTACGTCAATTGTGCACTGCAAGACTATGTATTGTTTCAAAAATTCCTGCATGGCTGCTTTCAGTGTTGACTGACAGCTGCAGCCTGCTCTGATTGAGAACAGCGAGAGCTTTACTTTAAGGGACACCAACCTTTGGCAATGATTGTAGCATGATTATAGCATTAAAAAATGAAAGCTCTCATATAAACAGCACGTGTTTGTTCTAAACTATACAAATTCAAAGCAGCACTATGTCCATATACACACAAAAGATTTTTTTTTTTCCAGATTAAAGATTCAGAAATGGGGGCAGGGGGAAAGAGCTATTTGGCAAGCAGGTGGGACAGAGAGATTTTATATGAACTGTTTGCTGTTGTGTATATTTTAAGGCTTCTGCTAAGCTCAGATAGACAAGAACTGACAGCAGACAGTGCAAATGTTTCATGTTCAATTTTTCACATCATTTTTCAGACTTACAAAAGATTAGCCCAAACATTTCACAAGTGCAGCAAATCTTTAACAATCCTAGTTAAACTAAACAAGCATGCTTGCCATTTTAGTCTTGTAACACATGACAAATAGGCAAAAATAAGAATTTGGAAGTATTTCAGCATAGGCTGCTCCTCTTCTAATAGCAAAACATTCCAAATGCGAAGGTTTAAGTAAGAAGATTACACTGTGCCAAATTAAATTCGCACAGCTGAGAGATGGCATGTGACAGACAATCTGAATACTAAGCGCACGTTTCACTGAGTTCATCTTTTAATTTCTCTAAAGAGGTAAGGATGCCAGTTATAGGAACAGGGACAACATCTTTTTTTCCTAGAAGACTAAAACACTAAGCTTTTTTAAAGAGACATGTCTGCGATGGTGATCAGTGCAGAGGCAGAGAACAGAGATCCTTCCTGACAAAGGCTGCTGAACATGACATTTTCGTTTCATGTCAGTGTGAGACAGGAAGGTCAATCTATGCCCCATTTTTAAGTTTTCTCAGTGAGGTAAAGAGTCCATGTTGGATTACTGAGCTGAACAGAAAAACTGTTGAGCTGTCCCATGCATTGGCGATGCTATAAGGCCAGAGGGACTGTAGGGGATTCGGGGCTGTTCAACCCCTCTGCCGGGTGAACTGATGTAAAGCCAGACTGCTTATAGAATCTTTCAGCACACATAAAATTTGTTTATAATCCATCATATATTGAAGTGCTTTACAGCATCAATAAATTCAAGCTCTAAGTATAAAGAACCCTTTAAATCATGTTAAGAACTTGGTCTACTATTGGAAATTTCCCCAGGACTCAAGCCTTCTAAGAGTCACCATGTACACTTCATGACTAATACACTTTTGCTCTATTGAAGAGGAGATAGTTAAATTATTTATACAATCTTTATAAAACTCTGCTGGCTGAACAGAATTTTTACTCAGCACTTGCTGTTTATGTTCCAACCTCTGACAGAAAAAGATGGTTGAGAGAATGGGATTCCAAATATATAGGTTTTCCCAAGAGCAACATCTTCTGAATGTGTTCATTATTTGAATTTGAGACTAATCTACTCAAGAGCAAGGCAAACACACTCTAGCCACTTAGTCCAGTCCTTTCCTCATTATACTCACCATGCTGTAAAAATGAGGCATTATAGTGTAAGTAGCATACGTTTTTATCATATATAACGATGCTGAAGGAAAGAGGTTACTGCATTACATTCCATAAAACAAATCCTGTCAAATACAGAGGCAGTATTCAAGGAGAGTAATGTGTCTTACCCAATTGAATGCGATCTGTGGTGGATGCACAAGGAAAGAAAAGCAAGAGTTAAAAGTATTATGAAAATGTAACAAAAATATACATATATATCTGTAGCATGTCAAACTGCCTGAGGAGAAAAATAAAATCATTTGCATTCAAGTTTTGATGCTGGAATTCACAGCAGAACGTGGATCAGTTGAGATTCCTTCAAAGCAAAAATTTTCACACACTCTTTCAATACACTGTCACCTATACTGTGTGCAATGAAGAACAGAAGTTTTGTCTGCTAAACTTTGTGTTCTCTTTATTAGATCAGATTTAAACAATGCTAACTGCTTTCCCTCCCCAAATCCTACCTTAATCTCATTAAAGAGAAAGTATAGGAGAACCAGAATTGTACATATATATCACAGCAGCAAATGTCTTTTTTCCCCCTCTGGATTTTGTAATCATCTCTCAGTTGAGAAGGGTATGGAAAAAATAAGGGGCTTTTAATTCCTAAAATGACATTTTCTAAAATACGTCTTCCTTGTTGAAAACAATACTTGAAACACTATGACACTGTTTTCCAGCTCAGAAGAAACTTAATTAAGGCAGCAGAACTGGGAGAAGCACACCGATATACAATACTCAAAGGATGTCATTAAGGTTCCAAAGTCGAGAAATGACGAGGCAGACAGCCTCTCCTTCATCTGTGTGTTACTGATGTAGTCTTTAATTACAGACCACTTCAAGAGAACACCTGCCTTGTGCAGTCAGCCAGATAGATGGTGCACACTTAATGAACACCTCTTCAATACTTTTTTTTCACATCCTTTTTCAATGTGTGGTGTGATGCACTACTTACCGCACAATATCCATACCTTGCTCTGAAGAAAAGCATTGATTTCTTCATGGTTATTTACAGGGTTCATCACCACGTATATTGGTGCTTCTCAAACATTCATGGATTTATCTTCACAACACATTTCTGCTTAGACCAGCTTAAGTAACACTGTTGCCATACATAGCCTCCTTTTACTACCTGCTGACTACCAGTAAGAGCCACCCCCTTCTCCATGCTAATACAGACACTTGTACAGCCATATGATGGGGAAATCTGTGTTACTGCAGAGCTCTAAAAACCAGCAGAAATGAAGGGGTGAGTGTCAGTAGAAATGAGAGAAAACAACTGCTTCACACATCAGCAAAAGAAATGCTTATGACATTACATTCTGAAGCAAGACAATGTTACTGTTTCGCTTATAGGGGATATCAAAGACATAAGAGGTTTAACAATGGTAGTTTTGGGTATGACAGCTGCAATATTTCAAGGAATTCACCTCCCAATGAGTTCAGCAACAGTTTTAAGTGCCCAGAACATCCCTAGATTAGGGAAATCCTGGAAATGCACAGCAAAAGGCTGTGCAAGAACTCCACCGCCGCCACCACCACCACAAACCCCAAAAGGCACAACAATAAAGGCACAGCAAAAATCAACTCCCACAGCACTAAAGCGGATTAATTATACCTGAGCCATCTCCAACAGATATTGGCCTAACCTGCTTCTAAAAACCTCCAATGAGAGAGATTTCACAGCCTTCAGAAATAACCCGTGCCTCCGTTCAGCTTTATAGCTGATCGCTCTTCCTGACCTCTCACACGAACTTACTACATCCTCCCTCTCCTTTCATTGTTCAGCCACATTTGCCTGGCCTGAAAGCCAGCTCGTTCAAACACTCACTGGCTGTATTTTCTGAAGCCGATTTTTCGCCCCATTCCTTCCAGTACATCTGCACACCCTTCCAAGGGCGGTACCCTGGCACTGGCCCAAATATTCCAGCTGAGTCCTCATCAGCGCTGGGCAAAGCAATTCCATCCCAAATCCTACAGGCAACACTTGCTGGAATTAAGTATGCATTAGCAATGATAGCATGACAGCATTGACTGCATTTGTGACCCACTAGCCTAGCATTTCCCAGGCCCTTATCTGCAAAGCCACTGCCCGGCTGGCTGGTCAGTGCTCCTCATCTCTGCTTTTGATTTTTTTCCATCTGTCAGTAAAACACCTTGCACTTTCCTACACTGAATTTTATTTTATCATTTAAAATAAATTTGAATTCTAATCCCGCTGTCTAAAGTGCTTGCTTCAACTCCCTCTGCAGTCATCTGGGGATTTTAAGTGTACACACGATGCCGTCATCTAAACCTGCAATGAAAATGCTGAAGAGTAACAGACTCAGGACAGATGCCTGCAAAATCCTGCATTATGGTGAGCTACTGAGACCTATTCTTTGAAAATTGTTTTCAACTCCCTATGCCCTCTTCGTGCTAAAGCAGTAACACCTAAACTGTATTTCTCTAGTTCACTCACAGGAGCAAAACCAGTATGGGCAGCCTTATCAAAGCCAAGCTCTATCACATCTCCTGCCTCCCCTCCATCCTCTATGACAGGTGCTGTCAGTTCAAGATAATTGTTCTTGACAAACCCTTTTATGTTTTTGCCATCATGCTATCTTCTAGACACTTAGAAAATAACAGGTTAATGCATTCCCCCCGTATCTGCTTTGTGTTTCCCAGAACTTCCCTTGCCCCTTTCCAGAGGGATAAACTTTGCCTTCTTACACCGCTCTGGGACCTCATGTGCCTCCTGTGCTGATTCCCATCATCTCCGAGGGGCACATTCAACTGCCACAGTCATGCCCCCAAGCTCTCCCTCCCTGCAGTCCTCTGTCTCTTTCCACATGTGCCTTCCAGCTCCTGGCAGGAATGAGGCATTATATTACCTTTATTCAACTTCAGAGCTGGCTCATCCCAGGCACTGAATTTGAAAGGGGTCTGTGCGATCATGTAATTAAAGAAAACGTACAAGACAGTTGAATGAAGGATGTATAAGCAGTATAACTGCTGACATCCTAATTTGCATGCATGCCTTTGTTAGCTTAATCTTTAACTGCATTTACTTGTGTAGTAGTAATGTATGTGGTAATGTGCACGTAGTAGTGTAGTGTATGTAGTTTCCTTTTTTTAAAAGCAAACAAAAAAAATAAGGAAGTGTCCCACTTGCTATCACAAGTTATTTCTAAAAAAGGCCATCAGCAGGGCTGAAACTCTTAGATCCACACAGGCAGCTGCAGAGCAGTCCAGCAGTATTGCATGAAAAGATCCAAACTTTACCAGTATGCAAAGGAGCAAGGGGCAAATACCCTCAACTTAGTATCACCTCTGTGCTCTACATGGTAAGAGCCATGTTGAAATGTCAGTGTAACCTCTACTTCTGAGAGATTTGAGACCGTGCTACTGCCCGATGAGTGACCTTGGACTCCCCCCCCCTTCCCCTTTGCCTTCCTTCTACACGTCAGAAAATGTTAAAGGAGACAATATGGGTTGGGGGTGGAGGGGCAACAAAAAATCCTGATGGCATATCATTAATCACAAGAGCTATTCATGAAGACTCTATTATCTTAACTATATTACTAGTGCCTGGTTTTTATCCCAAAGCAAAAGTATGTGTATACTGATTTTATATGCATTTCTGGTATTTCTAGTAACATGATGGTATTATACAGAATGCATTAGAACTGTAAAGAGACCTTACAAGCACTAATAATTAATAAAAAAATTAGAAGATTTAAAATGCTGATGATTATTCGTGCACAAAATGAGTTAGAGAGTTGTGACACTGGGAAGCTGGGGTGGGGATGAAAGACAAGCACACCAGCTGCATGAAAAGCACTTTGTCCCTAAAGGGTGGCTTCTCTGTTCTTTGGGACACACAGAATTTTGTCATTTTTCTTTCTTTCTTGTAGATTTCATCTTCTTGAATTCCAACACAGCAAAATAGCACATTTGGGGAAGCCTATCTGGCCTGTTGCTGATATATGATATTTTAGTAAATATTTTTAGAGCTAATACAAGATGAAATATCTTTCAGGTTACTAACTAAGACCCTGCATCTTCAGAACAGAAATATATGTGTTTCATGTGGTGCCCTGTACAGGTGACATAGCAGGCAACCTGGAAAGCAGAATTTTGTTTCACAAAGAAGGCAGGCTTCAATATTTAGAGTCAGGCTGACTACAAGCCCTTTCAAAATCATCATCGCCACAGGCAAGGGGTAAAGGCCAAGTACACCAGACTGCTGAACATACTGGGAATTATGATGATCATCTGGGTTTTAGAAATCAGTTTCAAGTGTCTGCTCTGAATGAAAACAGAACAGGGATTTGCATCTGGATGCCATTGGTGAGTAACAGCCTTAATGCCTAACCAAGAGAATTACACCAGAGTCTGATGTGTGTTTAAATCAGCATTATGGGAGGGGGCAGCGATAATCCATATACTAGATCACTGAAATAAAATGATTTGGATTAGCAAAAAAGCGAGCAAACAATGAAATAAAGAACGCGTGCCCCCTTACAGCTTACTCCCCCAAACCTGGCTGGCATTGGAGTGGGAGAGGGGAAGATTTTTAAAATCAGGTCATTTAAATGATAAGGTTTACAGTGTGATCCCACACAGAACTGCACCTGCCCAAGTTGAGCCAAGACGTTAGGCCAGCTTTGTTGCTGCAGGAAGCATATTGGCCATTACTCCAGGTTTAGGATGGTCAGCAGATGCAGAAGGCCCAAGTCATGCCATGCTTTATGTAACTATGAGATACTGGCTATATTGCTTGCTCCTGCATCATCAAGTGTCAAGAAAACGCTCCTAACCGAGAACTTAAGTGAAAACAGTAAGTGTCCACAAAATTGGCAGTGCTGGTAGTTCATATTTTCCTGAAAAATTCCCAACCAGGTTCAAGGTAATAATTTTGATCAAAGAAAGCTACTAGAAACAAGCTTCTCAATTAATCAAAATGCTTATGGACTTAGCCTCTGCTTTGAGCCCTTGGCTAAAGGGCTAATGGAATAAATACCACCCATCTGCTTTCCAAGCGCTAGTCAGAAGCATGACCGCCATGGGGGTAGGGGTTGACATGGATAGGTAAGACAAAGGAATTTGGTAACAGTGATTAATTAAGGCAAATATTAAAGGAAAAACATGCTCTATTACAGTGAGGACATTTCTGCCTTTGCAGTTAATCTCACACCCTATGCAAAGCACAAGCAAGAGGCCCCGAGAAGCACTGAATTGTTAGAGTCATCCTTCCCTCTATGATCAAGAGCCAGTGTTCAAGGCATTTGCACACCAACTCTTTGGTCACTGCTGTAGGATCTAAAGCCCAGAAGCAGCAACAGGACCATGGGCTTGTCTTCGTTACGGAAGGAAGTGTTAGCGAAGAACAGAAAATGAAACAGAGGATATGTTGGTGCTACATGCAGCACACGGATCTCGTGCACTTCTCGAAAATACAGAATACAACTACGAATGCAGGGAAGGCAGTAAGAATAAACAAAAGTAGGAAAAATGCTTGTGAAAGCAACTCATGCAACTGGAGCCTCAGCCTGGAAAAGCGGGAACTGAAGTGAGATAGGATAAAACCACAGGAAATCATGAGTGACATGAAGGACAGCAGAAGGACTACACTCACTGTTTCTCATAACAGAAGAGCCAGAAGGCATCAAAAGAAAGATCAGGGAGACTCAGAATAAGGAATGAATGAACAAACAAATAAACCACATGCTTCTTTACCATGTAACTATCTGTTCATCTGGGGAGACATGAGGTGTTATGAATGACAAAAGCTCATACAAGTTAAATTAAAAAAAAAAAATTCATGAAGAAAAGCCCTTCAAAGACTTTTAAATGAAAGCTCAAACTTCTGTTTTAGAAAGTTTTCAGCTCTCACATTGCTGAATTCTAAAAAAATGTACTAGGGAAATGTAACTGCACGCCTCCTTATTCTTATATCCTTTTCTAGACATATACTACCTATGGATGCTTAACTGTATAGAGTCAAACAATTCTTGGTTTATGTTCATAGCCTGGTTGCAAGTCACTCACTAGGTTTCCATTTTAAACTGCAATGTGGAAAAAACCATTGTAAAGCAGATCATACAGTAATGAAGATTTTCCTTTTTTAGTTTCACCTAGAAAAACAGTAATACTTCTGTAGAGGGTTTATTAAACTGTATGTAAAAGGTAGGTATAAAGGAAGGACTTTAAAGATTTCTTAAGATTCAGATTAAAAGTAAAAAAGTGGAAAAAATAAGTTTTAGCTGCTAAGAACTATGCTTCAGCCATTTGCAGCAAAAACCCCCGTATATATTTGAAAAACTTTAAAATGGATTCACACAGATCTTAGGATATGGTTACCTCATACATTACAAAATGACCAAAAAAGTGAGTACATACCAATATCTCTAATAAATGAGACCCTAATTCTGCAGCTCAAACAATATATTGTAGAGTTGCCCTTGTCCATGTATTTCATCACAAAAAAATCAACTCCCTAAAACACCTGAGAAGTTCTGTAATCCTGCTACCCAGTTGAAAACTCAAGTGCTGGTTTACAGTGCACAATTTCTTCATTTATGCTCTAATTCTGAGGAACTTTAAGACCAACACTTTTAAACATACATCAACATATGAAGTCTGACATTTAAGTTGCATTTAAGTGACAGTTGTCCTGACCTCAACTCCTGTTACTTTCATCATATCTTTTTTTAAACATACAACTGCAGAACAAAACTTTGCCTTTGTACATCTTGAAAAAGCTGATTAAAAATAGCCTGAAATATTTTTTTGATTTATCTTTCCACAAGCAGCTCGAAGGCAGGCTTATTTTCTTCGGATGATGTTGGTCTCCAGAATCCATGTATGAATAAAATTGGGTTAATAAAGATCTAACAGCAATTTTTTGTTCCATTTTACTGGTACATTTCCTTGAGCTTGCAAAGTTATTCCAAAAGGATTTCAAATTGCACTTTTTTTTTTTTAAACCAGGACTCAAATAAGAATTATATCTTCATTCATCGTTATCCCTTCTTTTTGGTTGAAACCATGAATGTTATAGAATACTCTGACTACGAAGTACTTGAACCTTTAAAACACTAATGTAGAAGGAAAAGAAGAGCTGACAGATGACTTATACTTTTTGTCCTCAAAATAAGACCAGAGAAGCAGCAGATCCCTATACCTCATATCTCCAAACTTCTTGCTGATAGCAGTTCCTACGTTGCTGATGGCTGCTGTTGCTTTTTGTCCTGCATGGCTCAGGGTCTCATGTGTTTTCTTGTAACTGGAAACAAAAAATAGAACAGAAATAGTGACAAGTGTTAAAAAAGAGAGGCTAGAATCCCCTACAACTAATTCCCTTTTCCCTTATTTCCACATCTTAAAGTCCCATCCACTGAAAGGTTAAGAAACACAATAACTGTGGCACAAAACAAACTACAAAGATGCCTGCTTCTGCACAGCTTCCTAAGTGCAGTTTAATCTTAATGGGAGCAAAAGGCTCTCCAGAGCAATCCTTCACTGTGTCTCTCCCCCTTGCAGATAACATCCCCTGAGTTAGGGGATGTTAAACAGTGCAAGCTGTTTAAAAGTAGAATGCAGTGATTTGTTGAATACCCGTTTGATACATTTTCTGTAAATTTACATCAAATAAGCATTCTTGCAGCAGACACTGACTTGGTAGCAAAATTTGCTGTCTAAAGCATAGAAAAGAATCAAGACATACAAACTGCTCTTCCATGCATATACATATTAGGTACATTTAAAAGATGCACTTCAAAATTATTTCTTGATATTTCAAATTAGACAAAATTGATCGAATCTGTTTCCATATGCTACAATTTTACTTTTTTTAAAAATTTCTTTAAAGGAAGAAGGTTTGGGGAGAGACAGAGAAAGAAAGATGAAAAAATCTAGACAGTGAATGCATATTCTTAATAGCACTGAATCTTTTTAGAAGTCACTCATTTCACATATAGCATACACATTCAAACACAGAATCATCTTAATTTACTGATACAGAATATATGCTCTGACCCACGTAGACCCTTCAGTACAATTAAGTTGCATTCTCAGAGTAATCAATAAGCTTTTCTGCACAGATGCTTTTTTGCTGAGTAAACTAACTCTGAGCATGTCAGAGGCTTCCTTCTGAGTAAATTATCTGATACTCCCAGTGACGCAGACAAGCTCAGAATTAGAAGTACTGACCTAGTAACAAAAGGAGTGCACATTATGATCAGTCTTGTACCCTGTGGCGTGCGTTGGCAGACAAGAACTGAAGAAACGATCATGAAAAATTCAGCAATACAATTCCACTGGTTCTACTTCTCCTTTGAACAAAATCTGTAAGATTGCAAATGTGTACCAAAATACACTGGAGATTAATAAAAAAATCGCGCTGCCTAATTCCTAAAACAGAGTATTTTCTTCTTACTTTTAGGGATATGAAAGCAATATAACTTTGTGGAGGCAGGAGAGGAAATAAGAACATTAACATTTGCAATATAGCACATCACATTTTATATCGGGTCCTTTTAGACCTAGCAGTACCTATTGCTGAAAGTCCTCTGTTGAGGATTGTGTTTTACAAACCACATGTTAGAAGGCAGATGCCAAGTAATGCTCTATTCTTTCAGATAATAGTCTATCAACAATTAATTTTTCCCAGGACAAATACTTGGATTTTATGTTCCTAAGCCACAAAATATCTTACAGACTACTGACCTAACAAGTTCTAAAACTGCCAAGTGAAACAGTTTGTTCTATGAAGGCGCTTGTCTCTGTTTTCACTGACTAGCAAGGCAGTCTACGGGGAGCAAGACCAGGGTACGAAATCTCTAGAAAACAAGAGTTAGATAAGCTGAATCAATTACATGCACAATGTTGACAATGAATGACAACAAGGACTAAAACATTGCAACAGTGACAGAAGGAGCACAACTTATAATTAGAAAGGTAGGAGCATTGATTATGCCTGTTTTATTTCTTCTGGCAGAATACAAAGAAGACTGAAAAGATTGTTTTCACTGGGTCTCCTTTCTCCTCAGTCCTGCTATCTGCCCCTGGACATAGCAAGATTGCAATACTCTTATTTCATTGACGCCTCATTCTCTAGCTTAACTAGTTTAATAGCTCTGTCATTCTCCTGCTGCCAGCGGACATATAATCTAGAGTGGGATAAGACCCTAAAATTGACATTAATGATGCTTCCGTCAAACTATGAGCATGTAGCTTTTTGATAAGCATTGCCTATGAAAAAAAATGTGAATATTCTAATGTCTGTGACTTTTTATATATAATGTCTGTGACTTTTTATATACACACACACACACACACACATATATATATATACACGTATTATTGCATACAAGTCTTTAGACATTTCCCTAACAGAGAAGTTTCCTAAACCATTCAGCACAGGTGGAATTTTGCTGATGACAAAATGAAGTCCAAGACTTCCAGGTCGAAAAGGTCCTCAGTAGCAGAACCTATTTATGTACAGGTTAACCGTACCTAGTAAAATACTTTGCAGATATCCTTCTGAACAAATTTTTTGAAAAAGACACCTTGGAGTTAATTTTACTCACAGGCCTATTTAGCTTTATGAAAAACCATCTCCATGTCTTACCGTTCTGCTGCAGGTTCTTCATACTTCACAATTGTTAAGAGAATAGTCCCAAATGCCCCATACAGCAGACAGACTCAACTTTAACTGAGAAACATTAGAGTCCTCTACATATTTCTGTACATTATGTTAGTCAGAACACACTGATTTTGTTTGGCTGAAACAACACTGATTTTGGCATTCCAACTAATATTGTGTTTTTTCTGTAAATCCCATAAACCCAACGTCCTCCCCAGTATTTCCACTAGCAAGGAAGACATGGAGACTGCATTTATGTTCCTAATGCTTTTGACATTACGTAACAGCATAAATCCAGCTAAGACTCTTACACAACTGGTCTTTTTTCAGCACCAACTTCAGCAAAAATGACCTTTGACATGAACCTCTCCCCCAGCCATGCCAAAGAAGAGCTTTAAGGAACAAAAAAATAAGAAAGGTAAAAATGCAGTGCAACATGCAATATCCGTCAGCAGAGACAAGAAACAGTAATTTGCATCTCAGTAAAGCTCACTGACAGTTAACTTAAAAATCAAGCCCCCCCCCATCCCTGCCTCTCCAGCATTATATATATCAGTATGCCTTCTTCATAAATAAATTCTCTTTCCACAGAGGACATTGCCTTACTGTAGTTAGTTACGCTTTGCATTGATACACAGCACAGTATTTTGGCTCAGATATTTTTATCATCATAGTTATGTCATATTTGCAGCATTCATTTGATACCTTGCCAAACACTCTGGTAACAATGATCTCCAACATATTCTCTCTGACTTCTGGGAATCTTCTCAGTTGTACGCAGCATTAATAATCTAAGCCAGCAATTTTCATATCCTCATGTAATACACACCACTTTGCAGTTTTGTTTTAATGCACTGAACAGCTTATGTAATTTTCAGAAACCTTTAAGAGCAAAAATAAAGTTGGATATTCCAGGTAAGACCTACTAACATTTATTTATGGGAAAAAGTGCTGTACGTATGGCTTAAGCCCTCCTATCACCCCCAACTGCTCCAACACGCTAACTCATCTACAAAACCTGTACTTTCATCCTTTGAGCAGCCATTGCTGGCTATCGTTGGGCAAGCTCATCAGGACAGGTGACAGCATCTCAACAGGCAGTCAGCCATCAGCTGAAATAATGTCAGTGACCCTGAACCTTAAGGCAGAAATGATCCAGTAGAAACAAACTCAGAGAATTTAGGACACAGAGATTCAAGAAATATCACTTTCCACCCAACCCATGGCACTCATTTTTACACAAATACATCATTAGGCTCTATGCCTTTCTTGCACTAATAAAAAGTCACCATAACCTCCCTGACTTTAACAGCATTAGGCCAGATGCCCAGTAGCATTAGTAAAAGTAGAAACAGGCTACTTGATTTATGCAGTTAGAGTAGAAATGCCTTCTCTGTTTTTGTGCTGTGGAGTATGTTTAGATGCCACAAAGGAATTGCTGGTAGTGGCTAACAAGGATCATATTCCACGCTTCTCACTTAGCACGTAACAGTAAATATTTATAATGTAATTTCACAGACCAGAAAGATTGAACAAACATGGTATGGGAATTGCTGTCACAACTGTAAACTTGTAAATAAAACTCACATGTGTCATTTTGAACATTACATTTTTATATGACATTCACCTAAGAATTTTGTCCACCATCTTCCAATTATAATTGCGTTTTTAAAATAGGGTATTTCTTTAACAAAAGCAATTGTTTATAACTGATTATTAGAGGTTATAAAATAAGCTGATCTTGCAGTTATATTCTGATAATATACCCAACACATTTAAAAGAAGCTTTAAAGATAACTCACATCTCCAGTACTGCAACATACTAATTAGGCAAAGTAGATTTGCAGCACATTTTGACTGCTTTTTTGCTTGACAGTTTCATATATTGCCTTTAGGTTGTACTGTCACGTGACAACCAGGTCTCACTACCTGATTTTTACAGCCAGCGAAAGCAAATGAAAGAAGATACTGTTTCATAAAGCACAATGTGCGAAGGAAATAGTGCTTCGTGTAGAGCATAGCCAAGCAGAAGACATACAGAGAGGTGAGAGAACTAGATGTTTAAATGACCAACATCATCTGCAGGATAAGACAGGATAATCATACTGCATGCTATTTGATCTCATCTCAACTTAGTACAGAATTGACCTTCACATGGCAGAGTCAAATCTAACCTTCCTTTAGAGGTGCAGTACGTGGACTGCTGACAGAAGCAGGCTACGAATATAATATTCATATTTTCCATGGCAAGCTGCACATTTGACCTACTACAGTAAATTATAAAGAATTTAAATTCAGCTTCTGTAAAATTAGTACATCTGCTAATTAGTACATCTTCATTCAGCATTGTGCCTCTCCATCAATGCTTGCTGGCAAAATTAATCCATTTGAGAAACCCTATTCTGTGATAAAGCTTACATAAGATGCAACAAAATGCAAACAATTAACAACAAAACCATACAGCAGAGCAGAGCCTGGTAGCACAAGTCATGCCCTATGGAGCTTGCTGCTTCTTAGTTTTCAAACCATTAGTCAGCTTAAGAATGACATTTCTGGACTCAATGTAAAGCATCTGGGTCTCTGAGAAACTCTCGGCTAGTAAACTATTTTTCTGTTGATTTTCTGTGAAAAACGGGGCT